TCTGCCTGTTCTGCACCCCACTCTGTCTCTGGTGAATCCTCTCACCCTCCGCATCTCTGGCCTGTACCCCAGTTCTGTATGAATAAATAAATAAATCTTTTAAAAAAATGATAATAACAAATCAAAATATAGCTACCTATTGGGGGATGCTATGTGCTGAACATTGTGTCTTATATAAATGATCCTATTTAATCCTTACAACAATCTAACTAGGCACCACCACTATCCACATTTTTACTGATGAGAACACTGAAGGCCTATAGGGGATAATGAAATTTGGCCTATAGGGGATAATGAAACTTGCCTACATGGTCATGTCTGGTTTTGAACTTGTGAATTTTGTCTGATGTCAAATTTCCTTCCTTTGCCACTGCAATACTCTGCCTTCCCAAAACACAGCATGTAGGCTTCCCAAGTGTACAACTGCCAAACTTTAGATCAATAATGTGATGCCATACCATTGGTGCCTAGGACAAACACAATCTTCTACTGTCTTAGGATCCTTACTCATTCCAGGTTCCTGTATTTGGTTCATACCACTCACTAGCCAGAATACTTGCTCCCTGCTTCTCCCTACCCCAGATATCCAAATCCTTCCATGTCCTGTGTATTAACTGCTGGCTCATTCTCTTCCACCTTCTCCCAGTTCCTCTAGCACAAATCACATAAATGTTGTAAATCTCATCACCTCAAATAAGATTATGTTCTTTGCATGCAAACGCTGGTGTTTTCATTTCCTTTGTTTGCCATATAATTGCTAGTGATGTTAGGCACATAGAGGAAGTGTTCAATAAATATTTGCTAGTGCAAATATAAATACCCTTTAAGGTTGTATGAATGTTCAAAGAATGTTCAGCATCTCCTTTTATAGTGTAAGGCATTCAATGATATGTCATGGTCTGTTCAAGTCTAATTGTATGCTTTGTTCAGCACCTCACCAATCCTGGCTACTTACCCAAGGGGTCACTTTAATAACAGTAATCACTTCTGTATTCTCTTTTCTGCCATACTTTAAATTGTCAGAACTTAATTCATTAAAAAAAATCATATCAATAATAACAAGTGACAAGTTTCAGAGCCTGAGGTTGATTTGCTTCCCAATTATCCACCTTTTAAAGTTCAACTTGCGATTCTCTGATTGGTGAGAAAAAGGAAACTCCCTTCTTTGTGCCTTAATAACCTTTCCATCTTCTGTTTTTCCTGATCCTCGATGACTAATTTATCATTGGCTTGCCTTTTCTTTTCATCTTAAAGGTTCTCATTGCCAATTCTATTTCAGTTGTCTAAAGCTGAACTTATCAAGAATGTGATCCTATCAACCCAACAATAGACCATAAGCTTTAAGGTACCACAGCTCTGATTCACTGTGTTATTGACAGCTGTCACTGGCCTGATACATGGGTTTTTAAAAATTGGCCCAGTCATTCTTCACTTTAAATTAAGTAAGTGGAATGAAAGATGATCCTTCAGCAGCATGTAGACCACAGTGGAAGGAGGGAGAATGGAGTATAACCACAAAGAAAAGCACAGTCCCTCAGGAGAAAAGCATTATCAGTTCAGACAGAAAATGGGGTAAGTAGCCTGGGGTCAAGATAGCAGCTAAGAGCAAAGTGCTTGACCACTCCTGCAGTCCACGGTTAAGTTCTAAACATGGAACACACAGCTTTACTCTACAATTTAGCAATGTAGACAAATGAAGATATTTGCATTTATCACACTTAACAGCGCATCATCCTATCCCTGGCAAACAAAGCTGCAAGATTGAAAGCCTGACTTCATATCCCAGTTTTACATTGGGCAAGTCACTTTCCTCATTGCAAAATAAAGATGATCCTCATTCTATTCTCTTCAAAAGGTAGAAGAGAGACCAAAGAGGAATAATAGACATGAAGACAGTTTGAAAAAAAGTTTTGTACCATACGATGTAAGTCATAACAGTGTGGTGCTGATATGATTTTCTGCAAACTACAAAAAGGTGAGAAATTTGAAACATTCATAACACCTGTCACAAATGGAGTATCTTTTCTCTGATATATTTCCATGGAGCTTCCCTTTCAGTTCTTAATTAGACAACGTGAACAGGGAGTCTTCTGAGGTTAGCAGAATCTTGCACTAATCAATTCTGACCAGCAAGTTCTTGCCCATCCATCATATACTCCTTTACAATGACCCAATTTGACATCTCACTTCTGTTCTTTGTGTTCCTCAAACTTCATTAGCTTGACAACAGCACTAACTACTGGCTGGCTTTTAAGGAAAGGTTAATCCCCAGGTAAACATTTCAAGAAATAAATATCTCCCATTTCAAAGTGAAACTGGATTCAGAGACTTTTCTTATAATCACCAAGTAACACAATATGGAAAAACAGGATTGACCACACATCTTAATTAGGGAATGAATTTTCAATTTACAGAGGTCAAGCCCAAATTCTCTAAACAGCCAGCTTCCAAACAGAAAATTCAATAAACAAAAATCTAATTTAAGGCTCACATTGACCGACTAGTCAAAATTTCCAAAATTTGGAAATTTCTCACAGCATATAAGCCCATCTCCCTCATTTTAATGCTATACTTATATTTAGCATTAACTATAATGGTATTTTTGTAATACCAAGTTAGGATACTGAAAAATCCAGCAGGATATGCCAGGACATAATGGTAAAGAAACCTCCATGAAAACAAAGACAAATTCACATCTCTCTAATTGGTTCTGTTGCTGTAGCTACCTTAGACTCGGTGAGTCTTGGGAGTTTTGTGAATAAACAATCGATATCAAGTCTGTTGTGTAAGTGCCTGATTCATTATTATGGAACATATACCGACCTCTACCTTATACACGAAGTCAGACTACCCATAAATCTCTACTGTGTGTAAAGTAGCAATGTTCTGACACCATGAAACCTCCCCCCACCCCCCATTTTAAAGTTCTTTGACTAGATGCTACTTGGGGTTCTGTCCTTAAGTGAGCAGAAATCAGTCGGCTTAAAGTAGACTCTGAAGCGCAACAGCATCGCTTGTAATAAAGGAAATACACAAACAGGATGGGAAAGCATATGCCAGTTCTGACCTCACATTTTGCTCGCCACGGAAGAAATCCTTTAGAGCTTCGAGTGGATTTCTGAACCACTCCACTACCTCCTTAAGTTTCAAACTTAAACTTCCGAAGAAACACTTCAAAGCAGCCTATCTACTCCGCTCCTCCATATCAGCTCTGCACTGCAATTAGGTATCAGCGTCCCAGCAGCCCCTCGGGGTGAGCAAGAGAACGCGAAGATTCCTCATGCTTGAGAATCTCGCCAAACTCTTCAGGGACCTGTATTTTGAGCGCCCCTGCTTCCTCCTCACCAGCCAGGGCTCTCCATATTTGGAACCTACACAGGTTGGGCTGTCAATGAGCAGGATGTACATACGACATCTGGGCACCTCCAGGCAGCATTGCCCAAGCATTCTGGAGTCTCCAGCACAGCAAGACCTCCTCTGCGTCCGACCTACAGGCCAACCTTTGCGAAGAGCCCCTTCCAGACGTGTCCTGGAGGGCCAGTCAGGATTTGAGCAAGGAGGTTCCGTGATATTTCTGCGCTAAACATTCAACTATTTGTTTTCTGCAAAGTAACTGAATACATTTCGGGGGGCCACGACAGACCCCAAACGCTTCCTGGCTGCCAGGCACTGATTGGCATCGGGGAAAATTGGGATCAGTCGTTGGAAAGGAGCAAATTGTAGTCTTGGGGAACTTCTCTATCACCGCTGTGGGAGTGGGAGGGGAGGGAGAGAAGAAAGAAAAGCCCACACAAAAGCAGCCAGCTCTGCAAGCTCCGCCAGCACAAAGGCCCGCTCGCTAGTGCGGAGCCGGGAGGCTGGGCTGGAGCTAGGAGTGCAGCGAGTCCTCGGAGGCCTGCGCACCGCGCCAGAAGCTCCCGGAGCTGCCCCCAGCGCACCCAGCGCCCGGCACCGCGTTCCGGCGGGGCGCTGGGCGCACTCCTGGCGCGCCCGGGGCTGCTGCGCTCCCCGGGCTGCACCGCTCCCGGAGCGACCCCGCACTGCCCGGACTCCGGCTCCATGACTGCCCTGACTCGGGGTCAGCAGCAGCGGTCGCTCGAGTGGCAGGAGCCGGGCCCGTCCTCACCTGTGCGCCTTCAGACGAGTAGCGCGCGGAGGAGAGCGGCGGCGCCAGCGCTCGGCATCCCCGCGGCGGCCCCTGCAGCGGTGGCGGCTCCCTCCGCTGTCTGGGACGCCAAGGGGAGGGCGCTTCGCTTTGTTGCTTATTCATGAGGCCGCGGCCACGGCTGGGGATTGGTCGGTGGGAAGATGTGCCCGCCCCGACTCTGCTGGCACTGACACTCGAAGCCGTCGCCCCACGCCCCTCCGCGCCCACTTCCCCGCCTCTGCTGCGGCTCTGGGGGCCGAGCTGCGCCGGCTGGTCTTGCTCCCCGCCCTAGGCCAGGCTCGGCTCGAAAGACCCTCCCCACCCCCACTCCCCACCCCTCGCCACCACCCCCGCCCCTTGCAGCCTGGCTTCGCAGCCTGGGCTTCAGCAGCAGCGTCTCCCTCTATGTCTAGGGCAAAGCGAACAGAGTACTGTTTTCGCTAGAAGATCCCGAATTTCTCCCGCCCTTGTTTAGGGTATGGGGCGCAGGTCGAAGCTGCAGGATGTCCCTGTGGGACCTTAAGGCTTAGCCGCGCTTCTAAGTAAAACCCAGTAAAGCAACCTACACGAAGTGTTCCTTTCTCTACCGCTCTGAGAAGTTGCAAATAAGTGCTAATAAGAAATACGGTTTATTGAGCTCTTGTTCCTGCCAGGCACAATGCTTCGCTCATTACCTGCTTAATCTACCCAATAACCCTGAAATATAAATATTGATGATCCCCATTTAAGTGGGGAGGAAATTGAGATTTGAAGACTGTGTAACTTGCGCAGACTTATGGCTAAGGTGGTCCCCAGGAATTCGGGAATTCATAACCTCCATTCTTGAGTTTTTCAAACTTGATTTCTTTTTTCTATTTCTCCTAATTGTGAGAAGAAAGGGTTGCCAGGATTCTGAAGGCCCTTTCTAGAACCGTGTTTTCCACAGACGTTATCTCCTGTGCCTTTTAACTCACTTCTTTATAAAAGTGATTTAAGCCCAATTTTGTTGCTATTTGCAAACAACTTGAAGTTAGAGCAAGATGTTGTTCACTTTTGACCCCCATACACACAAAAAAACACATCTAACACACTACCTATTCCATTGCCTTTAGAAGATAACTATCTTTGTATTTCCAGAAAGATAGTCAAAAAATAGTTGAGAAATGGCACGGGAAAAGGATGGAAAAAGGCACAAAATGAGGTAAAAAAATTAACTATATTATTTTTTAAAACATTAAAAATAATAATAATAAATAGTTGAGAAATGGAATGTGAGTTGAATTGAATCTACTAGATTTGTTTTTGATGTGTGTGCAATGTAATACAATATAATATACTGTTCTGGGACCAAGCATTCTACCTAAATCAATGCCCAGCAGATGGGTAAGCCACACCCAGCTGACCAAATTGTGTTTTATTTTTAAGTCAATTGTTTGAAAACAGATTCATATAGTATGATGAATTTTCTGGCTAGACCACAAAATTGGATCACGTTAACTCAAGTGCAGGTAAATAACAATACTAACCAAAAAAGGCCAGTCAGTTTGGACCAAAGGAACAGGGAGAATGGAAAAAGACTGGAGGAGGAAGAGATGCCAGCTTCCACATAATCAGCCCTACACCCAATCTAGACTATTCCTTTTCTTTGACATCTTCTGCCTCCTGTTCTGCAAATTCCTTCCCCATCATCCCACTTAGAGACCCATGATAATCCAAATCCCAACTACAGAACTCCACTCTCCTGACACAAGCTATGCAAATCACACACCTGCTGTTTCCCACCTTCCAAGACCCTTCCCTGCTGTATGTCAAGGCTGGACCCCAACACTCTCCAGCCCTGCCTTACACTGTTTTTCATTCTCCAAAATTACCCTTTTCCATAATAGAGTCTCTGTTTTCCTTCTTTTCAATGCAAAGTATTTCTGCTATTCTGTAAAAGCAACTTTTATTGGCACTCACTTATTCACTTATTTTTATCCTTCCTGAAATGGTTTGTTTTGCTTAAGCAACTCTGAATAGTGCAGCTTATCAAAACAGCTGCTGTTGGTTACATAGCAGTGATAATACGATCCACACCAGCACATTCACAAACTGTAAAACCAGAAGAATTGTATTCTAAAAGTCAAATCGGGGCCCTCCCTGGTGGCACAACCAGTTAAAGCACAACACTATGAAGCTAGCCTCAGCTACTTCAGCTGAGTTCCATCTGTCCAGGGAGGTAACCCACATGGTATGGCAGACCTCTCCTATCTCACCGACTGCTCCCCTCAGCAGTGTAATTCATCAGTCTGCCTGTTCTGCTCCCCACTCTGTCTCTGGTGAACCCTCTCACCCACCTGCACCTCTGGCCTATATCCCAGTTCTGTATGCATAAATAAATAAATCTTAAATAAAATAAAATAAAAGCAAGTCAGTAAATCCATATACAACAAATATTACTAACCTTTTATGTGTAAAGCAAGAAACTATATGTGTATGTCAAAAAATTTTAGAGTATTCAAAACTCTAATCAAGGTGTGGGGGTACTCAAGTAGTCAGCTTTGGGATTCCAGATTTAGAAAATAAAAATGGAAAATCTACATTTGATAGTTGGTATATATTTATGCTGAAAATTGTTATTTATCTAGTATTCAAATTTAAACTGTATATTTTGTATTCTATCTAGTAAAGTTGTTTAAGTGATTACTCAGTTCTGGTTGGTAAAAAGCTTTTGAGTCAGAAAGGAATTAGTCACATGTAGTCAAGGACAGAAATCAACCTACCCCAAGAGCTGGGAGTGGGTAACTCAAGTACCACCCAGAGGGGAGAGCCTCCGCAGTGCAGACAAGCATTATGATGTCTCTGGTAAGACTATCGCTAAACTATAGGGAAATACTCCAACATGTGTTAACTAATTCTCTGTATTCTGAGTCCCATGTACTAAGAAACTATCTGACCATTTGACTATACATGTATATTGCCCATAAGGCTAAAGTGAGCCCACATGCATTGGCATGTTTGTAACCCATGCCCATAAAGTTGGGTTTCTGGTCTTAAAAAGAATAAGACCCTGGGTGTCACCCAGGTAAATGTCACTTCATAAGAGCTCTTAAAAGTCAGCTGACAGGAGTTCCCCAGACTCTGTACAGAGGGTGCAGACTTATTTTACAGTGTAAAATAGTATTGCTAATACTATTTTAATACTATGCTAATACTATGGGTATTACATACATTCTGGGTGTGAACAAACATACCTGAAGGTATTGTTTTATTTTTGCTTTGTTTTCACTTGAAATTACACCAGTGACTAACATGTAAAGTAATAAAACAAAATGAAGCACATGAGACAAAATGTCCTAGGAAGACTGAGCTTGCCTGGAATCTCCTCAAAATCATCCTGTCTTTTGATGATTTTTTTTCTTTCAATATTCTTATAGACACCTAAAGCACCCTACAAAGATGTCTGGCCACAGAACAAGGAGGACAGGAGCTGTTCTGCAGAGCAGGGTTTATTTGCAAATTGGATATTCAATTCCTACCTATAAGAAAATTGTCTTTCTTTTCTGGTCATCCTAAATGTTTATGAACAGAAAATTTTCAATACCTCCTGGTATATACTGCCCCATTGCTCTCTGACCCAAATTTTTTTGAGAGACATCTTCATTGCTTTTTTTTTTTTAATGATTTATTTATTTATACACACAGAACTGGGTACAGGCCAGAGGTGCAGGAGCAGTGGGAGGCTTCACAAGGGACATAGTGGGGAGCAGAACAGACCAATTGATGAATTAAACTACTGAGGCGAGCAGCCGGCAGGTCAGGAGAGGTCTGCCACACCACGTGGGTCACCTCTGAGGTGGGGATTGAACTTATGCTGAAGTGCCTTTAGCTTCTTAGTGCTGTGCTTTAACCCGTTGTACCACCAGGGAAGGCCCTCTTCATTGCTTTTTAAATTTTCAAGTTGAAATTCCCAGAAGTAAGCTTCAATATAAAATAATATTGCTGAGTAGACTCTACTTACTCCAGGTTATCAATAAATACTTGATGGTGGGCCCTCCCTGCTGGTGCAACTGGATAAAGCACAGCACTGTGAAGCTGTCTCCAGCCACTGCAGCATGAGTTCGATCCCTGGCCAGGGAGGTGATCCACATGGCATGGACATCAGTCAATCTGCCTATTCTGCTTCCCACTCTGCTCTACTGTACCTTCTCACCCCCACACCTCTGGCCTGTACCACAGTTCTTGTATGCATAAATAAGTAAATCTTAAAAATAATAACAATAATAAATACTTGATGGCTATGGTGATGTTATAAATAATGGTAAGGGTGTTATAATAATTTTATTCATCACATCCAAAGCCCTCAAAACATTTAACAATATCTGTATGAGTGCTCATGAACTTAGACCTTTTCCTACTAAATTATATCTTTACTATTCAATTCATTGGGAAGACAAGTAGTTACAAAAACAAAAAAATTAACTCCTTCAACAAAGCTTTGGAACAGCAAATTTTATACACTGTAGTTGCTTTTAACTATCAACATTAGCCTACTATATTTATCTATCCTTATTATTTATTTATTTTTTAAGATTTATTTATTTATCCATACAGAACTGCGGTACAAGCCAAGGTACAGGGGCAGTGAGAGACTTCACCAGAGCCAGACTAGGGAGAAAAACAGGCAGATCATGGAAGTACACTGCTGAGGGGAGCAGCAGGAGAGACCAGAGAGGTCTGCTGCACCATGTGGGTCACCTCTGGAGTGGGGATGGAACTTGCACTGAAGCCGCTGCAGCTGGCTTGCAATGCAGCCTCCTAACCAGTTGCACCACCAGGGAGGGCCTATCTTTATTATTTAACTGTTATTGTGCCAACACTGAGATGAATTCCTGTACTTTTATGCTCTCCCCAACTATAAAAGCAGACTTTCATACTCCTTCTGCCCCTTTTTCAGATCTATTCTTTTCAATATTTTCTTAATAAATATTATATTTCTTTAGACCCTGAACTCTGATTTAGTTCTAACAAATGGCATTTTATCTGTTGCCCTAAAAATAAACCAGATAAGAGAAAAAAAGGGGTTACCAATGCAGTTAAAAC